CAGTGCGGCCGGGGGGAGCCTTGTCCCTTTGGTGGCTGGGACTGGGGGTGCTGTCAGGCCGGGGGAGCCCTGCCCCCTTGGGGACTGGGGGTGCTGTCAGGCCGGGGGAGCCCTGCCCCTTGGGGACTGGGGGTACAGTCAGGCCGGGGGAGCTCTGCCCCCTTGGGGACTGGGGTGCAGTGTGGCGGGGGGCTGCCCTGTGGGAGGTAGAAAGCCCTGCAATGGTAGGGGATGGAGGTTCACAGCCCTTGATTCTCCGGCCAAGCCAAGGGAACAGGGCTCTATCTGAGCCCTCCTTCCCCAGTCTCCCCACCCTCTGCCTTGCATCTGCCTAGAGACTGGAGCAGGGAGGCCACTCCTTCCTCCCACTTACCCCCCCCCCCCCTGCAATGTGTGTCCATGGGGCTTACCCCTGCAGCCCCCGCCTCACACGCCAGGGCTACCTCTGCCACCCAGAGCCCACCCCAGCATTGGGCAGGCCAAGGCAGTGGGGCCTGCCCCCCATTTACGGCACCACCTGCCTGTTAACACAGAGGGCAGCTGGGTGTGTGTGTTTGGTGGGGGAGGGGGTTGTCTTTTCTGTCTTTCTCCATTTATTTAGTCTGATCCTTATTGGTAGTTAATGCTCCCCTCTGATCCGATGGGGTTTGATCATTGGCTGGCTCCTGAGTTGGGGGCAGGGGGTGATGTAGTTGTTGTGCCACATGCTAAGAACAGGCTCTGGACCGTTCAAATGAGGCCCTGGCAAGATCAGGTCGGGCTCAGGAGGTGACTCCATCTGTCCTGCTCGGGGCTGTCTGGCCAGTCCCCAAGTTGTGACTATGGGCAGATCTGGGATTTGGGGAGGGGTGGGGGTTGGGGCAGGGCTCAGGAAGAGTCTCTGCCCCCAGGCCTGCACACCCCCCGGCTCCCCAGCCGTGACATCGTGGTCCCTGCGCCAGGCCCTAGCGCTTGCTGGTTGCACCGCGTGGGCCGAGCTTTGCCCGCCCCCAAAGGAATTTCACTGGCGACGCAGCGTAAATCTCCTGCAATTCCCCTGGGGAAGGGTGACTCACTCTGCGGGTCCAGCGACAAGCACAGCTAGAAGTTGTGGGCCTGATTTTGTCATTAACCTCCTGCACTGGGGACACTGGGCAGGGAGGGGCTTTAAAGCACCTCCTTATATTCTAGTCCCTGGCCCGCCCTCAGGGTTGCTCTAATTCACACCATCGTTCCCCCTGGAGAGCTGAAAATAACTGCAGCACGGGGCGCTCTGGCCACTCCACTGATCCACCCCCCAGGCTGCTCCATCCCAGCTCCCAGACCCATCTCTTCCCTGCGGCACCCACCCTCTGCTCTGGTGACTGGGCAGAGGAATTAAACCTTGTGGGACTCGAGCTCTGGGGACAGCAGACACCCCAAGGAATTAGCTCAGCGTGCCAGCACTGCGCGTGCCAGACGGCTAGAAGATAACAGCCTAGTACTGCTACCACTGGAGCCCTTTACCTCGAGAGATGGGACTCCGTGATGCTGAGTTTCCCAGTTTGCATCTTGATGACGACAAAGGAGAGGCGTTGTTACGCTAGGCATCATGAAGGAGCCCCCGCATGGCATTTCAGCCCCATGCCTTGGAGAAGAAGACAGGCGCTGTGGCTGTGGGATGGGATTGGGACCCAGGGCATCTGGGTTCAAGCCAGGGCTGCAAATTGAAGCTAGATAATTTGAGGCTGGAAATGAGGCATAGATTTTTAACAGTGACGGTAATTAAGCACTGGGCCAATTTACCCAAGGGCTGGGGTGGATTCTCCATCACTGGCAGTTTTTAAATCAAGATTTAAATCTGCCTTTCCCTAAACCCTTTGTCTGTGCAAACTGGGAGCGCTTCAGGGCAGGAACTGTGTCTTGCTCTGTCTGTGCAGTGCTTGGGGCACTGTCCTTCAGCGCCTGGCAAAGTGGGGCCCTGATCTCGGCGGAGGTGTCTAGGCACTTCTGTAATACAAACAAACAATAATCATCCCAATTCTAGCTATATCAAACCGTGTCCTCCACCCACCCACCCCACGCACAAAAAAGCCGCACTCAAACTTTAATCTATTATTTTGAAAGCACTTGCCAAGCAGCAGAAAAGCAAATGCACTGATAAATATTAGATTGAGAGCCTGGCGTTCTCCTTGTGTTTCACAGCCCCCACCCCCAGTTGACACAGGCACCCCCAAGCTCCGCTGTCTTCCCCCTGTCTGTTTCACAGCACGCCTGGTCAGTTTCATAGTGGGGGAGGGGGAGCGGAGCCCAGAAATTCCAGAGGAGCTCCCAAAGATTGAAACTTTTCAGACCTTCCAGCCTGAGTTTCCAAAGGGGTGCGGGGAGAGAATCTGCTCCTGATCTTTTTTCCCCATGCTGAATTTAAATCCTCCCAACCAGGAAACGCTACTTAGAAACCAAAGCCAGGGTGAGTCACTTTCCTCACCACAAAATATTCACTCCCTGATTCAAAAAACCTTGAATGTGTCAAACTGCAGCCACCGAATCTTTTCCACTGCAGCTCCCTATTTGCTGAGCCACCACACAGGGACCTCTCGCTTTTCCTGTGGTGCTCGCCCTCTCTGTCAGCTCTTCGGGACAGGGCCTGGTGAGTTTCAGCAGCGCCAGCTCTAAGGCCCCTCAGCACTGGTGGTCTGTGTGCAAACGAGAATCAGGGCCCTGCTGCCTGTGGTAAACAAACAGGAGTCCGTCTGTCCCTGATGGTTAATTAGCTCCTCTGTAGAATCCTAGAATATCAGGGTTGGAAGGGACCTCAGGAGGTCACTAGTCCAACCCCCTGCTCAAAGCAGGGCCAATCCCCAGACAGATTTTTGCCCCTGATCCCTAAATGGCCCCCTCAAGGATTGAGCTCACAACCCTGGGTTTAGCAGGCCAATTCTCAAGCCAGTGAGCTATTCCCTAGGGTTACCATACGTCCGGATTTTCCCGGACATGTCTGGCTTTTTGGGCTCCAAATCCCCGTCCGGGGGGAAATCCCAAAAAGCTGGACATGTCCGGGAAAATCGGGACATGCGGAGCCAGCGGTGCCGGGCCGGGGGCCGGCGGTGCGGGGCCGGCGGTGCCAGGGGCCGAGCGGCGCCGGGGGGTGCTGAGCGGCCGGGGGTGCTCGGCCGGGAGCCGGGCTGGGGACCGGCAGTGCTGGGCGGGCGGGGGGTGCTCGGCCGGGGGCCGGGCCCAGGGCCGGCACCCCAGGGCCCGAGCCGACCCAGGCTGGAGACGCCGGGGGGGGCCAGACTGGGCC